GGATTGCATGCAACTCTCTCTCTCTCTCTCTCTCTCTCTCTCTCTCTCTCTCTCTCTCTCTCTCTCTCTCTCTCTCTCTCTCTCTCTCTCGGAATGCGACATTTACCATGTAGCAGAAATCCAGTTGTGTCCTCTGCCTTAATCATTTGAATCCAGTGTAAGACACAGTGACTGCCTCTATAAACAACTGTAGTCAGACTCTAATGAGGAAAAGCAGAATGGGAAATGCAGGACAACCACTGATCCACACTTGTTATTAATCCCTTCAGGGAGAGATCCAAATACCTCCTAATTTGAATAAAGCAAGTTTTGCTAATTAACTTGTCTTGGTAGCAACATTCTGTGAAACTTCACCCTTGTCTAAAACAGTGGTCTACCTGAGAAGCTCTTCTTTCCTTTCCAGATATGTAGTTCTAATATGAATGATTATGAAACGTAATTTGAGGGAGCAAGAGAACATATTCTGTTTCTCTTTGCTATTTGATCCTCCATAATTTTGATCTTGGATAAATAACATACCACTTAAATACCATGATGGGATTTTACATGCTAATTAGTGATATCACAGAAGAATTTATATCCTTTAATTTTGCCATAATATAAATACTCTAATTTAGCATAAGTGTGTCTTCCTTAAAGTAAATATACAAGAAAATTTATGAGATTATGAGTATTTTTAAATATATACCATCTAAGATTATCAAGCTTATTAAAATTTAATGTTCATGCCCTTAGTTATAGCCTTTTAATTTTCTTGTGTCTTTAAAGAAGTGTATAAGTTTTATAAACATAATAATTCCTATCAGTAGATTTCATTTAGCAATCTTAGTGAAAGCGAAAATCTCTATGAAGAACTAATAAACCTGAGGCTGAGGACATGGCTTGGGGTTAGAACATGTACAAACATGAGGACTGACGAGAGTGCAGATCTCCAGAAATCACGTGGTGGCCCTCTTGTAGTTCCAAGGTGGAGACTGGAGTCCCCAGAACCAGCTGGAGAGCAAGAGTAGCAACCCATATTACTGAACTATGGGTTTGATTGTGATTTAATCATGTGTGGGAGCCATGTGTGAATCCAAAAACCAACCTAGGGCTTCTGCATGTACCAAATGTGTGCACAAATACAAATGAAAAAAACAATCAACAATGGAGAAAAAAGAAGAAATACACTTTTATAGTAACTTTAAATTTCCAATCTGATGAGATCAATTATCAAATCATTGTTGCAATCTTTCAGTACGTGGCTCCTGCTTGGACATTGGCTATGGGAAGTAATCATGGCCCCATGGTCTCATCAGCTCTGTGCATTGCCGCCAGCCCTTACCACTTAGCGCAGGAGAAGAAAAGTTGCAGAATTTAGACCCAAGAAATTTTGTTGACAATAAAGAATTATTCATTGTAACTTGGGAGATGGTTCAGCAACTAAGAATACTGGCTGCACAAACACCGGACCTGGGTTCAAATCCCTAACATAAAAACCTAGGCTTGTTTGTGAGACAACTACCCCAGAATTGTGGGAGGGGTAAGTCAAGGGGCTTGCAGAGAGGCTTTCTGATTGCCAGTAGAAGGTGGTCCAATAGTGGATCCAATGTCTGCCTCTGGCCTGCAGGATCCTGTTCATGGATATGAGTACCTACACGCACATTTGAGTATCCATCTGCCACATCAGTTACAGACATACACACATAACCAAATCGGAAAGAATTCTTAACTGCAGTGAGACTGGAGTGTGAAGGTTTGTTAGACTTAGGGAGTTCTATACAGAATTTATGAATGCCAGATATGTTATAAGATAGTGCAATCTATAACAATCTCTAAATCTGAAATACGGTCTTCATGGCCCAATACCCTGACCTGAGATTCTAATCTTCCTCTAGAGGCACATGTATGTCTCTGAAAGGGAGATAGGCAATACGAGGCCATATTGGTGGAATTTGTTAGAAAATGAACCTCAGGGAGTACTAATGTTAACAAGAAACTCTTGGGGTGGGGGGGTGGTCCTGGAGATTGTAACTAACGCAGTGTCAGTGGACAATTGCTGGCCATTGGGAACTTAGTGGATCTTCCGAAACTGGAAGAACATGGAGAAATAGGGAAAGTGTATAGCAATGGGAGTTTGAGTCTGGGAAACACATATACGCTGCAGTAGACCAACACCAGACAGCTTGCTCATGCTGAGAACCCATGAGCTAACAAGCCGCATAGTGCAGGAAATACCCCTTCTCATTCAATGTCTGTATCATCTGCACATAATACATGGGAACGTGTTAATTAGGAACAGTATTTTAAAAGCTCAGATCATTTTAATCAAGCAAAGTGATGCATTACAGTTAAAAGCTAATGAATTTATAAACAGAGGCATGGCATTGAAACTCGTGTACTTTCTTTAAATTATTTTATTGTTATTGACATATTAACTGATATTTTACAGTGATAGTTAAAAGGGAAGTGATATCATCTATCCTCATACTTGTTGTTTAATTCTCAGACTACCACAAGGAAAAGTGTGGTATTTATATCCTTGATACTTTAGTGTGTAAGGGTGAAAATTAAACAAATTTTAGATAAATAAATTTAATGGATGTTATTTTAACGATGTCAGCAATTGGTTCTTTGGGGACTGCTATATTTAAACTTACAGTTTATGTAAATGTGATTAGTCATTTGAAATGAATAAGTCATTTCATAATATATCTTATGCATATGAAATTTCCCAGTCAAGAAGGGCTTCTTCAGCTGTGTGTGTATTTTGACATACTCTAATTGGCTAAATTATCTTGTTGGATAATAAGCCTGGTTCTTCGCAACTGTCTCCATAATTTCCATGATTTCTCAGTAAAGAAAATGAAGAAATGTATAACAGTGCATATGTCATCTGAGTTAGGAGTTTTCTTGAGTCACATGTCTAGACAGTGTCAATATACAGGATCAAGCTGCTGTACCGGTAGTTCATGAGCTAAGCTTACTTACCTTCTTTAGGCCCAGCCTGTGGGTGAAATGGAATAGTTTTAATGAGCTTTGATCAGAGCAAGTGTCTACTTCATTGGAATAAGTGTGAATCAATTACATCTCAAAATCAATATAATAAGCCAATCAGTTTTTAGTTTTAGTTTCTAGTTTCAGAAATACGATAAAAGTTTTGAAACTAATAGAACATTGACTTTCTGTTTGAGTAAATTCACATCATTCAAATAAATTTACAAAAACAAAAAAAATGTTTGTTTTCTTGTAAACAGTATTTCTGTTTATTACATGTATAATAGTTGAAAGGGAATCTGGTATATCTACCCACACACTTGTTAGTTAATTCTAAGACTACCACAAGGAGAAGTGTGGTATTTCCATCACACCTCCATCATCTTGGTCCATCTAACTCCTTCAGGGCCTCGCCCCCCATCTGTGCTCTCTTCCAACTTACCTTGTCCTGTTTCAACTTACTTTGGACTTTTCTCGTATAAACTTGGAGTCCAATTAGAATTGCCCATATGTGTGTGGGTGTAGATGCATCCACTTGAACATGTGCAAACTACCAAACCAGTTACTATGACTCTGAAGGAAACCAACTCTTCCTCCCATGTTGCCCTCCCCTAGAGCCTCACAAACCTCTCTCATCCCATGCTAGACTGCTTACTGACTTGGCCATGGGCAAGGCTCACAACTAGACATGCAGTGAGTTCCTGAGTGCAGCTGCCTTGCCATGTGTGGAAGATGCTGCTTGGCGGTGGTCCTCCCACCCTCTAGCTCTTACAAGCTTTGTGTCACCTCTTCAGTGATGCTCCTTGAGCCTTGGGGGGAGATGGTTTGGTAAAGATACTGGATTGGGGTCTTGGAAGTTCACCATCACTAATCTCCATACTAGCCAGTTGTGTGTCTCTATATTAATGTCTGTCCACTATAAAAGGAGCTTCTCCGATGAGGGATGAGAACTTCACCAAGCCACCAAGGATCTGTACTTACACAGCAGTTTGACAAAAATAATCATAGTTAACTTTTGCTGCAGCTTAACCTCTTATTTATAATTTCAACCTGAAACCAAATGTAAAACTTAAAGTAGTTCGTTAGAAATGGAAATTGATAAATCATTTCAATAGTACTCATCATTTATTAAACATGTGTCTATGAAGGCTATGATAATGCTACTTTTTGATAACAATCCAAGAAAAACAATATTTCTATGAGAGAACATATCACTTTTTTATCCCTGGTTAACTGGGAAGTCCCTGTAGACCATGCTGACTTTGAACTCATGGAGCCTCTACCTGCTGGAATCAGAGGCGTGTGCCGCCATGCCTGGTGAAAAACAGTCTTGTACTCAGTGACAGTTTGCATTGAATGAAAATAGGAGGAGCAACTAATTGAAAGCAGCCCGTTCCTTAGCTGCACTTTCCCTGTCAAAGGAAGTCATCTAAGTTAGCGCCACACATACTCCTGTGGCTGAAGCTTGTATTGACAACATGAAGAGGGGCTAACATTTGTTTCCTTTTGTACTTTTGTCTTTCTTTCCAGTTTTAAAAAGGAAAATATTGATGACATAAAGATGTTATTGTGTATTTGAGCATTCATATAGACAGGTGGAATTTGGTTTATTTTTTTTTTTGAGACAGGGTTTCTCTGTATTATTTTGGAGGCTGTCCTGGAATTCGCTCTGTAGACTAGGCTAGCCTCGAACTCACAGATATCCACCTGACTCTGCCTCCTGAGTGCTGGGATTAAAGGCATGCGCCACCAACTCCCGGCTTGGTTTATTTTGTATTGTGTGATTTTTAAGTTTCCTATTAATTTTGTAGATTATACTTAATTACCATTGTGTGTGTTTGTGGGGGGGGGGCAGGGAAATCAGAGAACAGCTTTCAATCGTCTCCATTTCTACCAGGTGTGTCCTAGAGATGGAATCCAAATTGTCAGTCTTGGTATGAGCATCTAAACCCACAAAAGGCATCTTGTCAACCCGGTCATACTTGTACTTTGACTTGGTTTCTCTAATACATTTTGTCTTTCAGCTTCTCCCTGGGTGGATAATAGTAGAACTCCAAACAAGATTGATTTGTATGATGTACGCAGAAGACCATGGTATGAAATTTTTACTGTCCTAAAGATGAGATCAATGAAATCATTTGTTAACATTTTGAGGGTAAACGGCTTACTGGGATAGGTGTCGTCTCCTTATATATAATGCTATGATATTTTCAAAATATAAATGTGATTAATAACAAATGAATGATGAGTTTTGGTAGGGAATGATGGTGAATAGTGTTAAAATGATTTTCAGACATTTTTCTCAAATGAATTACTGTAAGTCTTATGTTCAGTTGCAGCTTGCAGTCTCTTTTAGCTAGTGGAGATTTCTGCAGGATTCTTACTTTGATTGGGGTAGAGTCCTAACCGAGAGTTGACATGGAGTCAGAGACAATATGCTTCTGGCAGTAAACCAATGGGAGCTGGCCCCAAGCAAGAATGCTGCCGAAGTAAACCCATATATTTTAGACTTATTTTCCCCCAAAGGAGTTGTATTTGTTTGACAGTACTAAAATAATTCATAATCCTACAAAATACAAGAAAATATCAACAATATGTGTGGACTTACTGAAAAACAACTCTGAATTTTCATGCCTTTTAAATATTGATTCTATTTTGAGTGTTTAAATTTGACATTAAAATTGTAAATATACTGTTTTTAAAGAGGGAGAGGGAACTGAGAGTGACATGTGTAAAAAGTTAAATGAAAAATATGAAAAAATAATAAAAATAAAATAATAAAACTCTAAAAAAAGTTCACATATACAACACAGTGCCTTGTCCTCATTTCATAATGATTTTTAAATATATATTGATGAAATGAAATATGTAATATCATTTTAATGAAGGCAATATGCTTACTCAACTACGTTAAATCCCTATTATTAAATTTTTGCATTGTTTCCAAATTCCTGCTATGTTCACATAAATTCTATGCAACATAGTGATTGATTGAAAGGACACGTGTTAATGACTTTTAAGTGTCCTGTTTAGTATCACATAGCAGTTTACATGAACACGACCTGAGCGATAGTTACCAAATATTACTGTTATGAATAATATCCCTACATTTTGTTATTCAATGTAAGCAAATACCACTGTATAACATAGTTAGTATTAAGAAATGGTCATTTTATGGGAAACGTGGGAGAGGCGTGTCAATCACCCAAAGTAGACAACTTCCTGATCTTTTCATCTTCCCACTGAGAATCACACTGGGACAGATGCTAACCAGAACAGTGTTAGATGCTAGACGTGGGCTGAATGGTCTGCTGTGTGAACAGAGAGGGACTCTGCCTATTGACAGAGACAGTGGAGTAGACTGCAGTTTCTCCCTCCCCGCTAATCCCGAGCAGGAAGCAGCTGGGCTCTAGATGGCTGCAAATGAATTGGCGTGCTTTCTGTCAGGGAAAAGTTGAGTTTTGATGCAGCCTTTCCTTCTAGGGAAGGCAGACACCTGATCCCCTTCATTATCTGTTCCCCTTCAGTCTCTGACCAAGCAGTATATGTCTGTCTGTCTGTCTGTCTGTCTATTCCCCCCTAGCTCATTAATCAACTGCTTTAAAATTTATTTCTCCATAATCAGTTAGCTTCCTGGCTAAATCTCCTCTGACATATTTTTCCGATGCAGAGTCTTGTTCAGTAAGATAGGGTTGGATTTTAGAATTAACATTTCAACTGCTTCTCAGCATTATTCTTGGACAAGTGAAGTTTTTAGAGTTTCTGCTTTGAATTCTTAGTAATAACATTATCCAGTACCTGGTCTGTTATGTAATTGGCCTGTTGTGTTTCCTTTTGTTTAAGTTGCTTTTTCTTCAATTACCTCTTTGCATTTGGGCGGTGATATTTAAAAACTTCAGTATGTTATTCACTACAGTGAAAAGGTCGTAACTGGAATTTAGTATTTTCTTTCCTGATTAAAAAATCCTTTTGTAAATTATTCCATGCACTGCTTATGTTAAATTTTATCTCTATCTTTTCCTATAAATACCTGGAAAGTATGTTTAGAAGTCATAACTTGAGCATCTATAAGGTAATCTTAAATACATTTTTTCAAGCTAACATTTCAGAATCTGTGTAACACAATCTCATTTACTATGGTTGTAATAGGACAGGTCTTTGCTTTAACCATATCTTAACTTCAGAGATCTATGAACAATAATACAACAAATATCAATGTTAGACACAGAGGAAAACAAGCATTTCTGTGGTTCTGTTTCAGGTACATCCAGGGTGCTGCATCCCCCAAGGACATGCTTATTCTGGTGGATGTGTGAGTAGTTGATTATTATCTGTTTATATCTGTAGCACGTGAGACTTTTGTAGGTAATAGTAGTTTGTTGGGAGTTAATAATGTATGATGAATTGGAAAATAATCAATGTGATGATTGCATATGCAGACAAAGAAGCCATATTAAGATATTAACAATGGACCGGGGAGTTGGCTCAGGCAGTAAAATGCTTGTAGCACATGATGAAGAGCTGAGTTCATGTCTCCAGCATCTACAGAAAAAATTAAATAAATAATGATAGGGCAGTGGTTTGCACCTGTAGTGCTAACTATCCATAGGGGAGAGAAGATCCCTGGGAGCTTGTTGTCCAGACAATCGAAAGGGTCAGTTTGTCCCAGGATCACTGTGTGAGCCAGTCTTCAAGAACCTGGTAGAGAATGGTAGAGGAAAATACCTGACATCGATCTCTGACCTCTACATGTGTATGTGTGCATGCATGCACACACATAAACACAGACATGCACATCACACACATATACACACCGACATACATCACATACACATTACACACAGACACACGCATACACATCAAACACACATGTATGCACATCACATACACACATACAAACATGCACACAGACATACACACATCACACACACACAAGCATACCACTTAAGCACAAATACACACACAAACGTAGGTATGCACATGCAAAACTAGAAAAATTATTTCATTGAAAATGGAAAAATGCTATTTACATCTGTATCAAAATGGAAAATGTGACACTTCTTAAAATTATTTCCATCTAACTTCTCAATTCTGAATAATATTAAAATATAGAGCTAGTGGGAGTTAATAAAGCTCACAGTTCTTGTTACTAAAAAAAAATAAAGAAAAAATGTAACTTAGTTGATACATAGCCATAAACAATTATATTGACTATAAGGGATTTGGATCATGTTAAGTTTTATCAGTAGGGGTTTTCAAGAGACACAATATATGAGAACACTTTCTGTACGTGTTGACATTTTGTTTTATTAATTTGTTATATTGTTGCAAGTTAAAACCTTATGAGAATCTGTATGCACCTCTTATGTAGAAGTGGGAGTTAGTTGCCTAGAGATGAGCCCTCCCTTAGGAACGTGAAGAAACAAGAAACGTGAAGAAACACTGCAGGAACTGCTCTTTGGTCTGTGGAGTGAGGCGTTCGGCCACCTCATCACAGCTGTGCAGACTTTCTTCTATTCATTTTTCCTATCAGCGTTTATTTTTTAAATTAAATTATAATTGTACCATTTCCCTCTTCTCTTTCTTCTCTTTAAACCTATACACTAGCTCTCTCTCAATTGCATGGCCTCTATTTCTTTAATTGTGGAAATAAGTGTGGGTGTTTTTGTTCCTAAATACATAAATATATAGGCACATAAATAATATATGAATACAACTCATCAGCCTCTATGTTAATTGTATGTATATGATTTCAGGGCTAACCACTTTTTAAAGACAAAATTATTTTTATTTTCATGTAAATTATCCAGAAGCTAAAAAGACCACCATGCTGGGTGGTGGTGGCACACGCCTTTAATCTCAGCACTCGGGAGGCAGAGGCAGACGGATCTCTGTGAGTTCGAGGCCAGCATGGTCTACAACAGCTAGTTCCAGGACTGCCCTCAAAGCCACTGAGAAACCCTGTCTTGAAAAACCAAAAAAAAAAAAAAAGGATTATTTTCTTTCTTTATGATGCTGTTTGTTAAATGTGGGGAGTAAGTAACACATGGACCCATTTGTCTGTTCATAGGAGTGGTAGTGTGAGCGGGTTGACTCTGAAGCTCATCAGAACATCTGTCTCTGAAATGTTAGAGACGCTCTCAGATGATGATTTCGTGAACGTCGCCTCCGTGAGTATGGGTGGCTTTTCTTTCTGAACTCCACCTGCCTGTCTCCTAGGGGCTTTGGATGCTGGGGTATCCCTGGGGTATCTTGAGCTGACATAGGAACAGTACAAGCTACCTTTTGAACTGTTCTACACTATCCTTTCTGAGGTCCTTAGCATTAACATCTACTGAAATGATGAGCATTGAGTGAAAACCATTCCGCTCCTTTACTCTATGAAGGACATACAGGTAACATGGCCCCTTCTACTCGCAGGTGCCAGACATTTGATGAAGTAGAACGTGCAACATGATTGAACAGTTAATTGCTTGTTGCTGGTTACGCTCATTTTCGGCCTGGTCAGTTGACTTTATTGCTTTGTGTTTTCCTAACAGAAGAAAAAAGAGGCAATTAAATTCCCTTGGAACTCCCTTAGACTCTCATAGCTGAAGTACAGGACTCAGTGTAAATGAAACAAATTGTGCCATGTCTCATTTTAATCTATGTAATTTAGGCAATGAATTTCATGGTCATTTTTTGGTGGATGAAATTTCTTACTTGAAGTAGTCTTATTTATAGAGATGTGGTTGAAGGAGGAGTGGCATTGTTTTGTATTGAACTGATGAGAATGAATATGCCTCTAAGATCACTGGGGAGGAGGACACTGAAGTCTACCTGTAACTGTCTCCCTTTCCTGGGATTGGGGGAAGAAGGAGGTGGCTATAATCCTACAGCAAATGATGCTTCAGATAGCTGGATTAGTAGTGCTACAACGGCTAGGATTTAGTCCTCAAAGGAAATTATTAAGACACTCCTGGATGATGATATGGATAGGATGTACAACCCACTGTGGACAGTGCAATATTCCCTGGAAAATTTCTCATGGTGTGTAATTCCCAGGAAGGAAAAAAATTCGGAGCTATTCCATAATCTAAATAAATTCACAAGGAGCCCTGTGACGCTCTTGTTGAGACACAGTGGCACGGGGGCTATCTCAGTTCATACTCAAGTACTTACTCATCTTCATTTGTGTAGAAACATAGAAATTACAAAAACTTTACAGTGGCTTGAAATGTTACCTTTGGCGTGATGAAAGAGAATCTGTCATATATAATGGCATTCATTGATTTAAAGCCAGAAATATTCAATGTGGTCAATGTTTTTCTTTGGCTTCTTCAAAACCTGAACATTAGGCCTAGGTTGAAGTAGTTTATTTGGAGGAGACCTCAGGACATAGCAATAGATAAAGAGTGAGGAGTGATGCAGGAAAAGGAGAATCTAACTGGGAAAGCAGACTTTAATGAAAAATAAAACACAGTTTCACTTGGAAATTCTAGAATCCATCTGGAATAGTCTTTTTAGGGTTGTTGAGCCCCAAACCATGTGGAGCTGACATGTTAGGTGCCAGCCCTCTCCACATGAAGGCAAACAGACTAATGGCCATATTCAGATTCTGCAGATTGGGAGCCGATCAGTGTCTTCCCTGGCCAATGAATGAATTAAAACTATGGAGATTCATATCATAAAAAAAAAAAACACAACATGGTAGAAGAGGGTGGTAAGCTTCTAAAGTCTGTGTCAAAGTAGTAGTTTTTCATAGTCTCTCTCTCCTCTAACACCCATCCCAATTTTCCTATACTCCTGCCAACCTCGACAACACCATCAGTAGCTTGGTTGGTGGGATGCCCTAGACACTTTAACCAGAGCCCTTTGTATCCATGGTTTCTATGTCTGTTCAAACCGTGGATCTATAATTGTCTATTCATAGACATTACAAAGGTGAAATTGTCAAATGAATTTCCTAATTCCCTGTCCCTATTATATCGCAGCAACTTTAATGACAGTCTATTTAAAAAATATCGATTCTTTGTAATTAGGACCCAAAATAGTCAGACAGCAATACAGATTCAGTTTTAATGAACTCTTAATGCAAGAATACCCCTCATTTCTGCCACATGCCCATGAAAAGCAGAACATACCTCCTCACTCCCGAGAGAGAGCGTAAACAGTGGCTAAGTGAGGCTCTCTTAGTTATAATGACTGGAGACTGGCTACCATTTATGCATTCTCTTTCTTGACTGAAGAGACTATAGGTTAGTGTGAAGACTTGATCCATAGGCTGTGTTGATTTTTCATTATGCAAATGTGCCAGGACAAATTTCAAGGTACTAGCACAAAGTCAAGGGGCCCTCAAAGTGCCTGAAAATTCAAGGATTGTTTTTCATGAGATGATGTAATCCTGACATTGCAAAGAACAGCATCTGCAAACAGATTGTCATCTCATGCTGGAGCCTTAGCTGCGCAGTTAAAGGTGAATCGTGTCTCGGAATGTAGCACAAGTGAGGTCCTGTAAATGCTGTGGACATGTGCCTGTGCTTGGACTTCCTTCCATAAGGTTTGCTTCATGTGAGTATGTCAGCACGTTCCCATGGTAAGCCAAGCAGTAGGTCAACTCTGAAGTTAATAGTCCTTAATGTTGAAGAATCTGGGACTGGATGTATGTTGATAATAAAGGAAGGAAAATTTTACCCCTTTCCTAAAGCAGCAACATATGACAATTTCTTGTGTTGCAACTGACTTCCTTGAAAGGTATTACTGTATCGGGGATTTTGGCATGGACTGGGCTAAATTGGTCATTTACCATTGTGGTAGCTATATCAAAACAGGTGAAAAAAATCCTGCATTCTCCATTCTAAGTATACCTACTTTTCCTCTCCGACTTGTTGACTAATTCATGGGCCTATTTTACAACCATTGTCATTACCACAGACAGAGCTGGTACCTTCCAGTGGAAATCACTTTATCCTTGTACTATGTAGTAAGTCACCTGGGGATGACCTGTCTCTAGCAAATGTGGAGGTGAGACAGAATTCGTTCATTGTTCCATGCGTTATCCTCAGCTTCTCCTTCACTCTGCCCAAGGGGGTCTTCCAGGATTTCTCCTTTCAGGGCCAACCACCTAAGCTACTTACTCCTCTACAGAAAAACTTGCATTTGCTTATCCTGGGAGGTATCTGCTTCTCTCTATCAAATTAAAATGAAGTGCGTTTTGCCTCAGGGTCTCTCAAAATCCACCCCCTGTGTATACCCCTGGCATCTGCTGCTTTGCATTCGGTAGCCCTGCTCTTCTGTTGAGTAGTCTTTTGTCGCTGTTGTTTTCCTGGCACAGACTGTACCTTTGCAGGTGGCGTATATTGAGATTTGACATTTTTGCTGCCTAGAGCAATGAGAGAACCGGGATTAGATGATAAAGAGAGCAAATGTCATCTTTTGTTGTCTCTAGGATCAGAGAAGCCACGGCACTCTAGTTGAAGGAATAGTTTATATCTGTACCAACAGATGTGGGCAGCCCACAGCACACTGGCTCCAAGAGCATCACACACCCACCTCCTTGTCTATCCTACCTGATGTTTGGAAAGACACCATGGATCTGTCACAGCTTTATACTTTGGTTCTCAGAACTAGAACCCTCATTGCTGGGACATGTTGACCACGGTAGGAAAGGAGAATCAGCTTGAGAAATTTTTCTGGGTTTCTTAGCTTGGACTTAGTCTGCAGTTGGCTGGTCCATGGATACCATCTTCTTGAGTGGAATTTAACAGCCTCTCAGCACTTAGCTTTGCAATTATTTTTGTCCTTGTATCTTTCAAAGGCCAAGTGTGCCCCCTTCAGTCTCCATTATGCTGAAATTACAATAGCTGTATTTGTAGCATTGTGATGCAGGTGTCAGAACAGTCTTCTTGGCTCCAGTACATAACTGGAGCCAAGAAATTTTTTTTTATTGTTGTGAGCCTAATAAATTAGTCCCTGTATGAATCTCATCTTGAGCATCTATTTACGAAAACTGATATCAAATAAGATTAGATTCCCTAGAAACAGTCACTTGCCACACCGATTTAAGTTCAGATAGCTTATTTGGAAAGGCCATTGGTGAAATTCAGAAATTAAAGTGCATTATTAGGTAGCACACGCCCTTTGAACGGAGCTCATTCCTCCTGGGAACAGTGTAGGGCCCATGAATGGTAGTATACAAAGGCTCAGATTTTCAACAGGGAAATATGCTCATGTGTGTAATGACTGCTCCATGTGACATCGGTTCCTGAGCATTCACATGTGCCATGTGCAGTGCAAAGGTTGGAGTGTAGCCTTGGGTAGGTGCATGTCACATTGACATGCATGGAAATAAGCATGGCCACTAATAGCATCAGCCTCATTGAGACAGTGAACAATGCTATCACTAAATTCTAAAAGAAATTTCTGATGAAATCCCTTTTGAGTAGATACTATGCATTCAGCATTTGGGAGAACATGGACACGCATGCCACATACAGACATACCCACACAGACACACTACCCTACAGCACATGACACAATATAAAGCCTTTTCCCCTGAGACTCTCCATGCTAATAAATTGTTACATTCTGTTTCATTAGAGATTAACTTCTAAAGATAATAACAGTTTTTCTTCCTTTAATTTTCACCTTTGGATCCTGTCACACTTCGAAGTGTTACTTATGATTGTATGCTGTTGTCGGCCACACAAGTTCACAATTAGCAGAAATTATTTTCTTAGCTACTGTATTCTATATAAAAACTATCTGCAATGGAAACATTAGGAGTCATTCTTCAGTAACGTTTTGCTAAAGATATATTATCTCTAGAAGTTAATCTCTAATTAAGTAGAATGTAACAATTTACTAGCGTGTCCATGTTTCTGTCTCTATGTGTCTGTGTGTGTATCTGTGTGTGCCTGTATATATTTTGCAGTACATGTCTGGGTATGCTTCTGTCTGTTTCTATGTGTGCATGTCTGTGTGTAGTAAGGGTATGTACATGTATGTATGTATGTGATGTATGTGTTTCTGTGCATGTATATCTGTGTGTTGCATCTGTGTATGATGTATCCATGTGTGATGTGTGATGTGTGTATGTCTGTCTGTCGTGTGTGTCTGTATGTGTTGTGAGTGTGTATGTCTGTGTATATCTATGTGTTGTGTTTATGTGTGTGTTCATGTGCATGTATCT